TGATGACACAGCTTTGCAAAGCAGAAAGTCAGACTGCCACGCAGTTTTTCCTTAAATACCTTATCCTATCCTTATACCTTTTATTTAGAAGTAAAACCCAAAGGGATTGCACAAGAAGTTCCTATAACTGTCCACAGCAATGTAAAACTCCTTGTTTTGGACATGCAGTAGGTATGTCCACTTGGTCAGAGTTGAGTGAGGAGGTAGCGCTGCAAAATCTAATGGATGTCTACAACTGGCAGTTGTAATTTAACATACAGTACATCTTATTTCCAGACAAGCGGTTTAGTTAATGTAATATGTGCCATTTCAAATCTTTGGCGTGGTTACTCTGTGCCTTCTGTTGTAAAGTGTTGCCATATCCTGATGAGGCTGCTGAATAAATTGTTTAATTATAATAGAAAGCACAAAAGAATGTTGGCAAAAACAGAGGAAACCAACGATAAAACGGAAAGAAAACTTCCGTTCCACACACACTGCGCAGTTCCCCATTTTTGGAAAACCAATCTGATCAGACACGTAATCTCATCTTCCCTTTAGACAGTAAAAGCTGTAGAACAAGATACACGATACAGGATCTCTGGAGCGGTTCCATTACCTTGACAATAGCCGGGTCAGTGAATGCCTCGTTTAGGATGTAGATCTCGCTGCGGAGCTCCAAGGTGTCGATGATGAAGTCTTCCTCTCGGGTGGAGATCTGCATCAGCGAGGTGAGGCCGAGGAAACTCCTGTAGGAGTGGTGCTGCGATGGCAAACAAACAAAACCTCTGCTTAAAACACAAGGACCTACAGGTTTTTAATAACAGTCTCAAAATTTACCACAGAATTAAATCAGTGCCTTCCTTACAAAAGGCACTATGTGTTGCTTGGCTGTAGTACTGATACTGATGCCCACCCCCCTGTACATCCAAGAACTGTTCCTAATCCCATACCTCAAGGTCCACTGCAAATTCAGACAATTTGCAGAGCTTCTCATTCAGAGCCACCAGATCCTCCAGTGTGTCAATGAAGGAGCACCTGGTCTCATCCATTGGTTTGTACATCTAAAAGTAATCCACAAGCGACAGATTTAGGAGAGGCAAACCAACAATCAGAAGATCATATTGTAGGATCACTAGAATTCACCTGTGCCACTGGCTTACACAGAAAGCTTTCTGGTATTGTAAGATGGTCCAATTCATATTGGTATGGGTGTGCAAACCTACAAGGATCAAAATCAGACACTTAGATGGATGATAGAAATAGGAAAAGACAAATTGTTAGTATTACATAAAGGAAAAGTCTTACATGTCTTCAACATGTTCCTGAGTTCTCTGTTGGTGAATGAAGTCAGCGAGGGCAGCCGGGACATCAAGGTCCTCGGGTCTCTCTTTACGGATTTGTTTGTTGGTGAAATCTATGATTGGAGAGCACGAGAGCTAATATGTTAGAGATGTTAAAGAGTTAAATTTATAGGTGCAGTGAATGTTATGAAAAAAATAAATGGGGAAAAAACATGAGTCTTACAAGAAGGAAGAGGCTTCGTTGCGTTGGGCTTGATGAAGATCTTGGGAATAAATGGTGTGTTGCTGTTGTCAACTTTTTCCTTGAATTTCAGCTGAGGCCTCGTAACATTCTTGGCGTGGAGCAGTCGGAACATCTCAGAACGACTGCCAGAACCTGTACCCTGATCAATGAAAGCATTGTTTACCACAACGTGTGAAGTGCTGGTATGACTATTTAGCAAGTGTTCCAAAAAAACGGGGCTAGGGCTTTAGATGCTTGAATGGCACATGAAGTTTCAGCTTGAATGCGGCACAAAAAAAACCTGGCATCTGCAGTATGAGAGCTGAGAGGTTAATTAGCCAAACCTTGCGATTCCAGCTGGAAACCACGATCTTGGGAGGCTGAAATCCTGCAGGCATGACAGGCTGCTGGCTCCTGTTCACCCCATCAGCTTCATCAAGAAGAATCCCCTGGAAATCAGATACAAGAGCTTGGTTGGTTTCTCAACCTTTTTCATGGAGAAAATTGTATAACACCAAAGCCATAGGTCATACCACTCTTTCGAGGATAACGTCGTTAGAGTCCACAACCAAGTCAAACCTCTCCTCCTGTCCTGTCAGCTTGTTCCGGTCTCTCATGTGGGATCTGCAGCCGTGGTGCTGCATTATCTGACTCATGCTAACACAGGGACACAGTGACAAGAATATTATTCTATTATTGAGAAACAGAAAGTGGCAGGTTACTCAGCCAAACCACTCTTGTGTTGGCTGAGTAACCAAGATAAGCTTATCTCCTTGGTTCTGAGCAAAGGCTCAGTCAGACTTAAATTGCCTCGATCTCAGCATCAAACAGGATGTGATGTCATGGGTCTGACAAGGGTAATCAGGAAATCAGGATTGTATATCAGAGTGATGTTGCATTGTGTGGTCTGGTAGCGTACTATTGGCCAAGCAGTGCAAATTCATATCTACATTCAACAAATATGAACTTTGACTTGCAAATGCACTGGAGGTCCACAGCTGCTTACGAAAGAGCAACCACATTGTTGAATTTGTTGAGTTTCATGGCCTTGAAGGTGGCGGGGAGACTGGTGCACATCTGACTGAGCCCAAACTCAAAGGAAGGCAGCAACATAACATATACTCACCAGTGCAAGAGCTTATCTCCCTGACTTTCACAGAACTCCTGGAAGCCAGGGAAGCTCCGGTAGAAATCATACTCATCTCCAGCTTGAGGCAAGGCGGCGGACGCTTTGGTGGCGGACAATACAGCACCCAATCCATACTGCAGAGGAGAGACAGGCTGAGCTGTAAGTCAACACTTTCTAAAGGGTCTTTTAATCTAATCAATGTAACAACAATGTAATGTCTAATGTCACAGTGGGGGATTAAACACAAGGTTGTTACTCCTACACAGTGAAACATGGATACTTACATAGTTTACCCTAATGGAATGACTGGAAATGTATCAATAACATTTCGGATAATAACTTGTTTTAGCTATTTAACAAACTACAAAGAACAACTATCTAACTGGCTAGCTGGTGACAGCCTCTAAAAATGTTCACATTTGTTTTCATTTCTCCAAACTTCTTCGCCATCACTTCAGCTAGCTATAGCTCTGAGCTTTGGGATCGTTGTTCCTAAGTAAGTGATCGATTTTAAAACGCTAATATGTCATATGTCAATAGTTTTGACGAAAGCATTCATCTACACAATCGATAGATAAGTCGAAAGTGCAAACATACTTGCAGCCACACATGAAACGTGCATGAAAACATTAACAGTTAGCTATCGCGCACATATTTTAAAGCTAACTAACTAGCACAGCAAAGAGGCTCAGCTCTCGTAATATCGACCATTCCCTCGACAATTACATGGAAGTAAACACCAAATCAGATGTCATGTCACCAGATAGCTGTGCGTGTTTTATACCAATACCTAACTTAAATTGTGATTACAGCTCGTAGCCAACAGGCACATCCACGTTGCCCATCTGACTGCTAGCCTGAACTCAACAACTCCAGGTGAGCTAGTTTGCTTACTTTAACAAAAGCATCCACGTCTTTAAAACCGGGACACAACTCGCCATTCTCGTCGTCGTTAGTGTCTGAATTCATGTCTTGAAGGCGACTGTTTGAGGACTGATTACTCTTTGAAGAAGCCATCATCTAGTTTGATACTGTGTACATGTGTGAGCCGCAGGAAGCAGCCCTATTTTCCTCAATGTTTTCTTCTGAGCAGGTCTGGGGGGAGCTGGGGGAGACAGCGCCACCTAACGGCCTGGAGTGGAGCTATATTTTCTACAATTTATTGAGGTCTTATTGGAAATATTGCTGCATGATCATACATAATGCACAGAAAAATGATGATTGAATTTAATCCTGAAATGTAAAACTTTTATGTTATATGACTGCGACATTTTAGGGTTTTCTTTGTTTTAATTCATTTATTACCCCACAGAATCTTGTCATTGTTCCACTGCATAGCTTGGCTCTGGTCGTCAATGTAGGCTACCCACTCAATGCAGGGACATTGCGGACACAGCCTTATCTCCCCCTGTATTGACTCACCCGTGGGGTGCTGCACCAGGATGCCAGTACCATGAGGGGGCAGTATTGACATTTGCAATCTGCAGTGACAAAGCTACAGCATCTGGACTGTTGCAGAGATGTGGGGAGAAATAATACACACCAATCATGTCTTATCCAATATTTGTGTAAGAGCTATCTAAACCTTATCTGAAATCCAAAGCATTTTGCAGTTTTCAGCAATACTAAAAAGTGATACTGTGGGTATAAAAATCATAGATCCCTTCCTACAGTGTCTGTTGTAAAAAGGAACCTAGTGCTGTGATTCAGTGGTCAATAGCATGTGAAGAGCCATTGCCGAAGTATTGACACACCAGCTCATTACGGATGATCTGCGGGTGTGTTGGGAGAAACCTCTCTTTTCTTCACTTCCCCTTCCTATTGATCTCTTCACAGGGTCCTCTCCCTCTTATTATCTTAAAAGCATCTCTGCAACACTGGCTCAATCAATATTTCACAGCAGCTTTCCATGTCATTCCTTTGTTTTTAGTGGAAGGTATCTAAACCTCAGCAGATGCACGCTCTAATAATCAAAAGAAATGAATCAGTATTCTTTGAGAAAGCCACAGAACACTGCCAACTGCTTGATACATGTTAGTTTTAGATCTTCTTGTAGATATTGCATGAGATGTTAGTATTCAAAACATTAGACTATCTGTGATGGTAGTCCTTATTATATGAAACAATTAGTATGTGCAGCAAAAAACCTTTGCATATCTGTTCTTTATCCACTGAATAGGGCATTACTGCTGCCATTTACTCTCATTTATATGCTTTTTCCATAATATTATGCATTTTATAGCTTTGATGGTGCCCCACAGCACCACTCAAATTCCTCCTGCAGTAAAAGACACTAAAACTGCTGATGCTGAAAATGACACCGTGCCACACACATAACTCAAATAAAAAAATCCAAGAGAAGATCCTCAGTGAATTGTTTTTATTAACTCCCTCATTTAGAAAACACAAATGCACCAAACGATATCATACATGCACAGCTTCAGCATATCAAGATCAGCTGATGACTTTTCAATGTGAAAACGTTACTGCCACGATCTCACAGAGATCACCTGGACATCAAAATACTGAGGAGTCACAACAGAAAGGCCAAGCGTTGTCACCCAGAGCTCTAATTGTATTTCTCCAATCAATCTTCATGAAATTGCAAATTTTGGGTAACTTGTTTATTCGTTTTCTGATCAATTCTGCCCTTTTCTGATCTTAAAAGTAGCAAGAAAATTGTAAAGTTGTATTGGTATAAAAAGACAAAAAGTACTAGTAGATAGTACAACTTGTATTATCTACTGTGCACTGGCCGACTACCTTGTAACAGGTAGTGTTTGTGTCATTGCACCAAAAGGCTGTTGTGTGATAGCAGCTGCTAAGAAATGTTACCCTTGGCTCTTGTATTTTTCAGATTCTGGGTTTGACTGAGAATTACAATTGGAAGTAGGACACCGCAGTTTGGTCTAGCAGTTGGGGGCATTGCTTCAAATCACAACAAAATACATACAGTATGTACAGTATACCGTATGAAGGCAAGAGAGATCTCATCGCACTGGCTTTTAAATTAGCCATCACTGGCTCTTAAATGTTATTTTAAAGCAACACTTGACCTTTGTGCAGAATTTTTGGAGGAAAAAAAAAATTAATAAACAATTAGTAACCATATCAAACATTAAAAAAAGGAAAAAAAAGTCAGAATCAAAACATCTCCACAGTACTGATACATTACAAAACAAAGAGGTTGGCAATGCTTCTATGTACCCAAGAAGTTCATAAAGTGTAATGCTGTTTTTTTTCAGTTCAGTATAATTAATAAATTAGCCAGAAAAGATGCGTTTCCTGTGTAAACATTTGTTAGCTTAACAATGACATTCTGTGATGAATAAATGTATACAGGTTAACCACACGTAAAGCCACATAAACAACATAACAGGATTCAAAGACCGCTTTCAGAAAGTTATTAACACTGATTTGGGGAAGAAAACCTTTTTGTCTCCACATTTAATACGAATTGTATCCTGTGAGGTGCACCTGACCTGGCCTTGGATCCTGGAGTTTTTTACCGCTTGTTCCTTTGCACTGGCAATCCATGGTAATGTGATAAAAAAACAGACATTTCAACTCAAACTTGTTTTTTTTCCTTCCTCACATATTGACCTTGTATTACCCAGTTTGAGTGTCTGAAATGTTCCAGTTGCCCAAAGCCCTGAACCATGTTAAAGTACAAGAAATACATTTTAACATTTTTTTTTCCAAATAGCAGAATGGCCCCTTTTGAAAACTATTGTCCATGACACCATAGGGTAAGTTAACCACACCCACACACACGCACACACACACACACACACCCTTGAATCTTCCTGGTGTCATCTTGATGGGATTGTCCTGATTTAGTCCTCCCTAAATCCTGATATATTAGTCTTGTGTGGGTGTCATTAGTACCATTACTCCTATGCCCTTTCCCATAGAATCCCCTCAGGCTTGCTCTAATTTACTAAGATATTTTAATGTCTGCTAAATCACGGCACATATCAGGCTTTCCATCCGTCAAGTCAGACTGTTAAATAGACCCTTGTGTCGGGTGCTGACAGATTTGTGATCTATCTGCTCCCACACTATAGGGCTATTGAAAGGTAGGATGGAGCAGGTCTGAATACCTGAGCAGTGGGGTTTTGCTGAAATACATAAATAAACAGTGACAACACTTACCACATAAAAAGGCCAATACAACTGACAAGAAAGGACAGATTCACAAAGTATTAAAACACAGCTGACCATAGATTTTGCCAAATAATGTCTAAGCTGGTGGCTAGATTTCAATCATCAGACTGGCACAATTGGCAACACTTTAAGCCTCTCGTCTCGACTGCAATGACTGACGATGCACATTGACTGGCACAACTACTCTGTGTTCCCCAGATGGATGAAGACTAGCGCTGCAAATAATGATCAATTAGTCAATCAGTCTATAAAATGTCAGAAAATAGAGAAAAATGCAGTTTCCACCAAGCACAAGGTGCTCTTTGTCTTTAATGTCTCTATACCATGGCCACTGAGGATTCTGATTGGCTGGCCCGGTGAGTATAACCAGGCACTTCTGACACACATGTTTGTTTGCTACTGTAAATGAATGCACCAGTGTCAAATTGATTTGAAAAAATAAAATTAACTCAAGGTAAATGTGATATTTTCATATTTTTCAACCACATCTCAATAGTTTTAATCAGCAAAATTTGCTAAGTCGCATTGGAGCTGGTTCAGCTGACATAATCAAAGTCACGTGACCGAAGTGAGGAACTTCTGAGCAAACTCCATTTGCGGATATAGATGAGGCTGAAAGCTTAAGATAAAGCTAGACCTTAAGCTGAGATTGTTTTGTTAAACTATTATTCCAGATGTTCACGCTCAAAAAGTATTGAACTACTATTCTCTATTCTCATTCTAAGAACAGTTCGACATTTTGAGACATATTATTATTTGTTTTCATGCTGCGAGTTGGATGAGAGCATCAGTAAGACTCGTGCTATGGGGTAGAAAAGAACCAGCCTGTACATGACCACATCAACAAGGATGAAGCGAGTAAGGAGAGGCAATAACTGTTTAAAGGTCCAATGTGTAGGATTTAGTGGCATCTAGCACTGTAGATGCAGATTGAAACTCACTTGCTTCATCAGCGTTGCTGCACACTGAAAATACTGGGGATAATGGTGCATACCACCCACCACCCGTGCCCCATTCCCAACACCAGAAAGGTGTGTAAGATAAGCTTAGGCATTGGAGGATCACTTTAACATTCTACTACAAGAAAGCTTGCTTGACTAGAGAGTTTGAGATCCCTGCTCTAGCTACATAATGAAATAAGAATGGTATCAGTCTTCACATCTAACTTAGCAAGAAGACTTCTTAAAATGTAGAACTATTCCTTTAAACATGATTTTACAGTAAGCACAGATTTTGATTCTCCTGCCGCTGGATAATCAGACCTCATTCTCAGGATCTGTAACTGGGCTAAAACTCTTAGCCCAGCCCTGTGAAATGTACCCTTTCCTACTCCCAGCTGTGTGGTCCTTAGCTACATGTTGCCTAGCAACGCAAGGAGCAAGAATTCTAAGATACAGGAAATACTGTGTATTTTATGTTATTGCTGTAAACAACAGTACGAGAGAGATAAAAAAAAATGTGATAGAAGTAATTGAATGACTGGTATTTTTTGTCATGTGGCCAAGGTATAAAGCGGAATTGTTACACTCCCGAGTTGGATTCTGTGGAGGCAAATGGATTGCAATCTAACGTACACCTTGTTGGACATGTTTGGCATTTTCTCTTTGACAATTGACTTAAATGATTGTTACTGATTATTTTCTGTCCATTGACTGATTGTTTCAGTGTTGAAAGAAATACACTGGCAGTTGCATACCTGTCCCACTACTGCTGTATACAGGCAGATGTAAGCTTCGTGAATGCAGAAAAAAGTCCAATCCAATCAATCAGCAGGCTATTACAATAACTGGTCTGAGGCATTAAAACCTGTAGCAGCCCTCATGGTACATTCAGCTCTCCACAATCAAATGATAAAAGGTAAATGGCTAACACTGGCACTGTGAGCTGTTTTATGGGTTTCATCTGGGACACAACCAACTTTTAATGGAGCATGTAAAAATGAGGATGGCTGCAGTATGTTCTTAAACACTGGAGTATCATTGACTAGTGTCTATAAGTGATGGCGTTACAAGAATCTCCAAAGGCACGGGCACGGGTGAATGAACATGTTCCGACTCGCCAACTCAGACTTCGAGAGGAAAACGGAAAATATTCAAAAATACAAAATACACCTTTTCATCACGGCCCTCCCCAAGGTACACTGAGTCCTTCAATAATAAGAAACTGTGAGGAATAAAATGTTGAGGAAAGCATGTAGCTATCTTAGCAATAACAACTAGAAGGCTGAAACTACTTTGGCACATGAATGGAAGTAAGGCATCTGTATCATCCTAATAAAGAGTTGAAATGGAGCATTGTTCCCAACCGGCAGAAGTGTCAAAACCTATGTTAAAAAAAAAAAAAAATAATAAAACCTCAAGCATTTACCGTTAATTAAGTGTCAGACAGCAGACTCCACTCTTGTGCTGCCTTATACCCACAAACTAATACTGCAACATATGTGGTCACCTCCAAATATGAGAGAGAAAAAAACCCCAAAACCTCAGCAACTTTCACGAATTAAAGAAAAAAAAAAAAACTCATATAAGGTTGAAAAACAAAGCAGAGTTTGTCATTGTGTCACGACGTTGACCTGAATGTTGATATTGCGATGGCGAGGAGCAGGGAAAGGGGAGAGATGTCCACACTCCAGGCTCTTGAGCCGCGGGCACTCATACCTGCAACACACACACACACACACACAAAAAAAGATAAACTGATGTTTAACCTGCTGGAGAAAGTGGAGACACCAACACCAAGTTCTTATCTTACGTTTCTTTTTTTTTTTTTAGATCATCTTGACCATCCTTGTACAAGGTGAGACCTTTGAAGAGGGCCCAGTCTGTCCCGGCTGATCTTACCCACCCCCTGTCTAAGCTGCTTCTGTCTGCTTGCAGATATATTCTGCAGAGATGCAGAACCAATAGACTTAAACACTCCTGCTGCCATTGGACTTTTAAATAACTTTATGTGATCTTTGGTTTGTATTTATTGTTTATTTTTCATCTGTTGTTGTCTGATGGTTATGTGGTTATGTAGTTACTGCAGCCTGTACAACGAATTGCCCTTCATAATAAAGATATCCTTGATCCTTGATCTTATCTAATTTAAAATGTACAGCACAACATACTACAACATTGATCACACTACTTACAGTACAAGTATGACAACAGTAAAAGCCTACATTTACATAAAAGAATAAGGTTTGACGATAATATTAAACATTTAACAAAAAGGTTAAGCTTAAGGACCTAAAAATGTCTTGATTTAACCCAGAAATTCAAACCATGCTGCAGTAGTTGAGGTTATCTTAAGTTTTTTTAATCGAAAACACATTTACCAACTGAAAGTTAGACACATTTTCAAAACAGATAAGTTTCAGAGGGGTTTGTGAAATATGGTAAAAATTAATTTATATCCTGGTTTCTGACTGCTATGATTTAAGTGAGTCAATTAACTCTTACGAATCACTGACTATGTTTTCCTGTAATGACATAATATCCATATAAAACCCTTTCCTGGATAAAATATGTATTATTGATGCACAAGAAACCACCTCAACCACATCTGATGTTTCAGATCCATTACTTTCTGTAGACACAGCACTCGGTTTGGCCTGCTAATGTGTTTTGCCCACATCTTTTTCTTTGCAGTATCCAAAGAATCGCTGGGAGGAAAAAAAAAGTCTATTTTTCAAATGAAATTAAAAAAAAAGCCAGCATGGAATTCTATCTCTCTCAACTGCTGTTTTCAGGGATTCAACACAGAATATCAACAATGCAAATTAGCATTTAGAGCAGAAGAAGAGCCCCCCTGGAGTCCCACAGGACAGTAATAGCACCTAGTAAAAGAGGAAGTCAACCTCTGCGACAGAGATGGATTGTGCTGCATATTTCAGCAAAATACCAGCCAGGGAGAGACGAACGGGGGTGGCTGGGGACACGAGTAATGGTGAGTCAAAGGAGGACAAAATGTCCCTGTCAGGTTTAAGAAGCGCTAAGTGACTTCATTTACAAGAGGGGGTAAGTGATAACGAATGGAAGTAAGAGATTGAGGTCCCGGTGAACTTTTATGTAGTGTAAATGTTGCCATGCCGTTGTGTTTCTCAACAACACGCTGACATCAGCATATTTCAGTGTTAGGGCTGAAAGCTGAAAACCTTGAAATAACATTTTATTCTTTGCTTTTTCTTGCAGTCATTGTGCCTTTTTCACACAAGAGGAAGCCAAACTCTAATTAGTCCTTGAACTTTCTATTTGTAACCACATAACCACTACAACCCGTCAACAGCGAGCTTACTTAGCTGGTGGACTCGTATGGGATCCGAGGCCGGGCCCAGCCCTCCTTCGCTCAGCGTCTGAATGTGGATGATGTAGTCGTCCTCCTCCTCAGGGAGGGTCAGCTCTGCCGTTGAATTGGCTGTTGTGAGTGTGTTTACCTCTTTGTGTCTCTGTCTCCTGTATGACAGCTGAAATGGCGGAGAGAAACAAGGTGGGTGACACATAGTTAACATGCATTCTTATAGCCTGACAGCTTAGAGTGAGCCACCGCACAGGTAGGGTCCACGCTCAGTCTGATACATAATGGGAATAAACATGCTACTATGAATACTGACAATGTAAAACTCACTTGGTAGCCTGTAACTTCTGACTCTGATTCCATTGCCACCACAGGTTCCCAGTAAAGAGACAGTTGAGATCCAATTAGGGTCCATTCCACATTCAGCGGTGGTTGTGCTGGTGCTGCATGATATAAAATTAATTCATTTCTATATGTCAGCGCAGAAATATATTACCGTCACATCATTATACAAGAATGATCATATTTCTCATAACACTACTTCCAAGAGTGAGATTAGAAATAGTAACTGTTTCTCCTCAACTTTCTCCTGCTAAGAATAGACCTTTTACCTTTGAATTATAATCAGTGTGGATGCAAAATCAAACACTTGAGCCGGAGGGCGTCTTGGGTGCTGCAACTTACGTGGCTTTTTTGTGGTGACGTTTATTGCAGGGAGGAAGGGGCCGGTGCCTGCCGTGTTGAAAGCACTGACCGTTAGGAAATACTGTGTGTTTCCTTCCAAGCCGCTCACTGTGACCGAGGTTTGGTTCCAAGGCACCCTAACCTTTCCCATGGTCTCCGGCTTAGTGTCATCTTCCCAGTAAACCACCTGTTTGAGACGGAGAGCATGTGATCTGGGTTTTAACCGGGATATATGTCACATACAGCACGACAAAGCATTTATAGAAATATTTTATATTGCCACTGGGTGTATCCTCTTACGAAAGATCACAGTTTTCTTTTACAGGACATTTGATCAGACATTACAAAGCCTTTGTTAAATGTCCAGCGTGTTGGTTTTAGTGGCATCTAGCAGTGTAGTTGCAGATTGCAACTCACTCACTTCACCCTCCTTTTCCAAGAGCGAAGGACAAACTAAGGTGATAAGAAATTCCCATTATAATTCCCCAAAGCCATCAAAACTCTTATTTTGTAAAATCAGCACTCAAAAACAAGGTATTTCAGATTTTTCCACAAATGGAAATCCGGCTAATTAGGATATGTTTAAACTCCAACCTACGACGCACAAACTTTTTGCACTTATGAACTATTTATATTCAATTTCTACATGTACAGTTCAGTTTTTGGTCAAGCTGCTCAAATATTTGCACACCATTCTTACTTGCATATTGCATAGTGTATATACTTTCATTTATAGTCTTATATTTCTATCATATTTTAACTTGTGTTAACTTGTTGTACCTCCACTTCTGTATTCTTTTTTTGCAGTACATTCCCCAATGCTGCTGTGTCAATTTTGAATTTCTCCTAAGGGGGATCAATAAAGGTACATCTTAATCTTATCTTGTGCGTTGAAATTCAAACATTACAGACGTAGTTCATCTGTAATGTTTTCATTTAAACATATCATAAAATTCTACATTTAAATAATCATAAAATAAGTGACTTTGTTGTCACTCCTTCCAGCCCTTTACACTGAAAATAAAGGATCCTGAGACAACATCCATGTCATCATTATTCAATGTTAACTGACTGAGTTGATTATGCTGGGGTAGCTCAGATATGAAATGGCATAAAAGCTTACTTTCCCGGATAGAAATACTGAAACAACTTTGATTTTATTGAGCAACAAATAACAACAACATCTGACATTAAAGCCTTTTGATCCCCCTGATTATTCAGTCTGAAGTATATGCAGGCGAAGCAATCAGGGTGTCCCAGTTTTTGAAGGGAAAATAGAATGCAATCTACTTTTTGTGGGGGGGTTTAAAATGTGAATGTTTAATATTGATATTTTATTTAGTGAACAATAACTGAAGATCGATACCCATGCTGCTGCTCAGTATCATCTTACAGTCTGTGGTGCAATGGTACTTCTTGATATTCTGACATGAGGTCTGGTATAGCATTGCAGCGCAGACTATCATGAAGCTCCGTATCATGATACCCCATAACTGACAGCAACATAAAAAGGCATATGGACAGGCAATTTCCTTTTGTTCTCTTGAAAACGCTCTGACATGTTTTCCTGTCGTGTTGGTACAAAGAACTGTATAATTTTGGCTCTAACAGTCGCCCAACTGAAGCAGCCATTTCCATGGTGACGCAGAGTTTGGAAGTGATGGCTTTGAGGTACAACAGGGGTGATGACAAGCATTTGAATTGTGTTGTGTGTGATTTCTATTTCCATTTAAAAGGGTAAAATGTACCTCATAGCCCAGAACCCTTTCAGGGGTGAAGGAGAGAGCCTGCCAATTCACCTCAATCTCAGAGGCTGAGACACTTCTGGCCCAAACTCCCGCTGGCATCCCACTTGGCTCTGAAAACAGACAACAGGGGACTGAGCATTGCTGCCTCCTTCCAACAGCACAGAGACAAGCAGAACAAATCTCTTCAATTTTTACATTTATAACTGTGCGGCATTCTTGTTGATCTCTACTTGGATGAATCATCACACACAGGTGCTGCTGGTAAATAGACCAACACCTCACTACAGACTGACCCCCTCTCGGCATGCTGAGAGGTAGCATAGATCAATGCCAACCGGTTTTTACATTGGTATAGCCATTCAAAAGAGTGGTGATATTTGGAGGCAATCTGCCTATGCTTAGATAAATGTGTTGCAATTTTTTTAATTCATTTTTTTTTACTTGTAAAAAGGTTTCTGCAGATTTATTTTCCTGGCGTCTCTTGTCTCTTTACAGAAAACCACTTTCATGATCTCTGTCCTTTTTTCAAAAACAGAAAAAGCTTTTTAAAAAATCCCACTCGCGCTCTATTGCCTTACCTATCTCTGCAGAGTAGATGGTGACCACGGGGCTGAAGGGACCCTGTCCTTTGCTGTTGTAAGTGCCCACCTTGACATGAAACGGAGAGAAGGGCGCGATGCTGTCGTTGCGGTACACGTAGCGTGATGCACCAGGGGCAGAGGTGGCCACGTGAGTCCAGCTAACTTCTCCAAAGGCGCGGAAAGCAATGATGTAACCAAAGCTCTCCCCATTCTGTAGTTCTTCAGGGACAGGCTGAGAGTGAAACACAAAACTATAGTGATATTAAAACATATACAAACCACTCACGTTCACCCCGTGGCTGGGCTGACACATCTCCACCCACTCTTGTGGTGCCAAAAGGAGTGGATGACCCACAAATTACATTTGTGACCCACCTGGCGAAATGAAACGAGCAGTAAAATGCCATTAAAAAAGAAATCTAAGCTCATTACAGAACGTCTGTGCAGTTTTATAAATGAAAAGGTATTTCTGATATTAATGAAATGAGAAAAATCAAATAATGAGATAGCTTCAGCCGTCTAATGACTTCTTCAATATCTGCATTATTTTTCAACAACCCTTCTTAGTTCTTCGCTCAATTTGAGCATTGCAGATTTGACTGAACAGCGAACTGTCAGATTCAGTGCTCTGCTTATGTATACATTGCCGCTGCCTTACACGCAGACTCTTTAACTAAGAAATTACAGCAACTTCAGCGCCAGACTTCAATTGACCTAAAATTTATGACACCCACAAGCCGAACAGAGCAGGGGCTTTGAGAAATACTAAACACCTCACTCAAGGATAAAAAAGATTAACTGCAGCCATTTTGAATAACAGACTAGAACATAAGACTGATGACTTACCTCCCATGTGATGACCAGTTCAGATCTGCTTCCTCCTCCTCCACCCACGTCACCTGGTGCTGCATCAGGAACTAACACAACACAGACCTTGTTCACACCTCCACATGAGAAAAACTTTAGGCTTTAGAAAGTTGTACAAAAAGAGATGATAGTTTTTGATATTTTCTATCTGAGCAGGATGAATGATTTGAGGGGGGAAAAGTGAATCACATTGGCTGTACCTGCGTCCTCTGTCCTGGTCTTGACTGACACAGGGCTGGGTTCTCCGACACCAACGCTGTTTTTGGCCAAAACCCTAAACTCATACTCCACCCAGGCATTGAGGTCTACCACAGTGGCTGTCAGCGTGTTCCCGTCGATTATCTCAGGGACTGGAAAAAAAACAGAAAACATGAAGTGGATACAGAAGGAAAAATAGAGGAAGTAACCGAATAAAACTAAAACAATGAAATGTGTGTCATTATGATAGATATGAGGTGAGCACTGGTTTGAGTCTAGACTGTTAAAGGTCTGAGCTACACAAATCTAGAAAACTGCCTTCCTTACCTTGTGTTACCTTGCATCTTAGAATAAACTCTTAAACTGACATGCAAGTGTGAAGATCCTACAAGAGACCCTATGACATCAGAAGAGGGCACTGCAATGTGGCTACTCCCTGCTCCTAAGTAAAAGGATGGGTGAAATGCAGGGGACAAAGATATGGTAAGGTAAAATAAAGGGTTTAGCTGTGAGCATTGGGTGCCAAAGCAGTTTCTTTGGTTACTTCGGGGCTCAGTTTGTTTGGTGAACTTGTCTATTTACACATCCAGCAGATGTGGAGCAACATTAGAAATCCTTTGGACGTGTGTTGCTGACCCTCTGATGAATCTTAGCTTTGTTGGTTTGGTCTCTGCCAACTCTGGAAATATCTGTCTGTTTTGGTCCATCAGCTTGTTTCGGTCAAGGGCAAATAACATATCCACTGTATGCTGTCTTTTTTTGTTGTTGAAAGCAGCCGCTTGAATCGATACTAATGAGAGTGGTCAGAGTGAACCAAAACAGTAAAGTCGCAAGCCGAAAAACTGGAAGAGCTGGAATACACGAAAAAAGCTCTGTTGAGCTGAGGGGAACTGCAGAGTCAGCTGATAATTATCTTTGGGTTCATCATTATGAGCGACTCTGATCCTTTGTTAACATAAAAATATTGATTCTAACAGCTTTAACATGACCTTTTTCTTCTTGTTTTCTAGGAACTGTAGCTAACTATTTCGTGGCATTCATTATAGGTGGATGTGCACTTTACTCTTTTGTGTATTCTTTTATGTTGTGTATATGATTCTTATGAGATATGTGTATTTTTATGTTTTTTTGCAACAGAAATCAATAAATCAAATGCTCAGAAAAAATCTGGTCGGCTGGCTGCCATGCCATACCATGCACTCTGCACCAACCCACCCCCCAACTCCACAGCTTCCACAACTGCCTGCCTGCCTGCCAGTCAGATATCGTTAAAGCTACAGAACTAGTCGTACAAGAACAGCAGAGGAAGACCAGCCAAAATTTCCAGTTCCATCTGTGCCCTCAACAGTTTGAAACAAAGCCAGAAAAGAAACACAGGAGTAGAAAAGGCTACGAACAAGAAGTTTGGATAAAGAAACGGGTCAAACCAGAGTCAGTGTGGCTTTTCTACAATGGTGAGAACTGAGGGACAGTTAAATAATCTGGTTTATTTGGGGTTTTTTCTTTTGGGGGGGGTTGTAATTTTCCTGAACTATGTAGTATGTATAACCGTGTATGAATGAGACATGAGGAAGTTGGATATGGTTACGATGCACTGCGTGTTCATGTGTGTTGGAGGAGTGGCTTTGGAGGGAGACATGATAGGAGGGGATGAGATATTTCCGATTGGATCATTTCAAAATCTAGCCGTCTCTTGCTAGTTTCTCCAACTTTACCTACCCTAGCTTTAATGCAAAGCAAAGGACAATATAAAAATGAACCTTTTGGGCAAACTGTGACTCATTTACAGTTCTTTTGTTTCCTTTGATCAATGACCACTGTCCCTTTTAAATAAACTAATAAAATGAAATATAAATTTTACTATATTACATTCACTTGGCAGATGTAACCTGCAATATGTACATTCAACCTCCATAAAACAATATCGAGATGTCATACTAACAGACTTGACTTATCTTAAGCAAATGAAAAGGATTTTGCTTTTGACCGAGGCAGGTGTAAAAGTGATTAAAGTGGTTTAAATGAGATCATGTAAAAGCAGCAACAGTGACCTCTAGTTCTCTTGAGTAAGGACCTGAATCCCTCACATCTCCAGAGCCTTCGGTAGCTGACCCTACAATCTGACCTCCCAGCTGTAAGACAATTTCCCTGCGGGGATCCGCAAATCGTCTGAATAACATCACATGTGGTATGAGATGAAAATTCATCTTCCAGTGCTACCTACCTGTGTTTACCCTCTGCCAGCCCACAGTGAAGGGAGTCCTGGTCTGGATGAGGTAATTGGTGATGGGGCTGCCGTTGTCCCTGCCGGGGCTCCAGGCCAGCTGGGCTGTACTGTCTGTCACCTCCTCCACCGTCACAGAGTCTGGAGGGCTGGGGGGGCCTGGCTCAATCACAGGAACAGACGCTGTGTGAGGTTCTCGCACATGCAGAGGCACAGACGAGACTACAGAATGTGGATGTAACTGTGTGTACTCACACATACTGCAAGAAAAAACATGAACCGTGCATATATTTGCACAAAAAACACATCCAGCTAAACTGTATTGCTGTAAGAGATTATCACGCTTAGTTCAAAGCCTCTGTATCTTGAAATCAACGTTAGCGAGAGAAAAACATTTTTAGAAAGCTTTGGGTTTGAGAGGACGTTATGGCCTTCACAAGGAATTAAAAGTGAATTCAAGATTTATCCTCCAATATTCACCCAACTTGTAATCCTTCCCTTTCATGGTCCTCCTGGTAATTGATCGATGAAACAGCATACGTGAGTAGATGCAGGGAGTCAAATTAAAAGGTAAAAGATGAAAAAGGACCTCATAGTGCCGAATAACCAGATTTTTATCATTTATTTTCATTATCCCACCAATTAAGCGGTATGATGTTTTACTTTAGCCTCATCTACTGTTTCCTGTCCTAATGAACGTGTCGGCTCATCAGAAATAATAGACCACTAGAGAGCTGTGAGACAGACCGCAGAATAATAACGCCCCTAGTTTAGCTCACACTCACCGGCTCTGTAGTGGTTTCTAATCTGAAGCAAAAATATTGTAATTATTAAAGCGTTAAATGATTATTTTAATAAACAGTCAGTGTTTTGGAAACACAAACTGATTTTGTGTTCGTGCAGTGTGTACGTGCTACATGTAAATGCGTGTATCCATAAATATTTATCAGACTGTGCTCGACATCCATGTTAACAAATAACTGCTGATCTACATTTTCTTGTTTACAGAAGCATTGAACGTGCTGTCCACATACATTTGGCCTTAAAGCCCTGGCTTTAGAGATATTGATCTTTGTAAAACTCATTAGCAGCTCTTGATAAAAAAAAAACCTTTAATACACTGGCCTCATTAATACATATTAATGGAGCACACAATCAAGGATCAATTCCTTATCCTCTTAATTATATTTCATTGGCTGAGGCAAGAGGGTGCTGTCAGTGTCTTGAGGGTGTTCAAATAATCTGTTATTAATATGGACAGGCAGTCTGGGCTTTTATTGTGAACTTGGCACGGGGCAAATTAATATCTGTCTGTATTATGAATACTTAGACATGGTAATATTATTTTGGTCTGAACCAAACATTAAACAAAATTGTAATATACGTCAACATGTCAGAAGAGAATAAAAATTAACAGTATGTGGTAAAAGTGATTGAACAATAATGATAAAACACATTTGTACAGTGTTGTGCTGACCAGGATGATGATGATGATGATGATGATGATGATGATGATGATGAAGCAATTGTCAAACAAGCACGAGTGCCCGCCAAGTGGTTTGAATGCTAATGACCGTGATGTTATCCATATAACATGACCTTCTCCATAACCACCACCACCCAGTGGAGTGCTTGTGAGGCATCACAGAGTGGCATCTAAAACATTTTCCATTGTCATTGTAAAAAACAAGAACCCAGATGATCACTCAAGAGTCTTTGTGTCAGGAGCTATTATCGCTGACCTTCAGTGCTGCCAGATGAGTGGAGCAAGACAAGATCAGAAATAATACCCTGCAAAATGACACAATTGCACTAATGTGTCTATGGCCAATGATCAGTATCTTGCGCGTGTGATCATGGATGTTGTATATTGCTGCGATCACACAGTGATACTGACACAGTCATTATCACAGTTAAATGGGTCCTGCATTATTCACATTGTTGTCTTAACATTAAAATTGCATTATTTTAGCACATGTAAATGCAGCCACTGAGGGAATATAGTGTTTTCTCACTGTTCTTTTACATTACACTGCCATGCAGGTAGTTTGGACTTTATATGTCAAGGTTTAGAGCTATCTGTCTCTGAGTTTTCTGCCCCCACCCTAAAATAAATGGCTGTGAAAGGATTTTTTTGTGGCGCTCACAGCTTTGAAAAATGACATTTACAAAAAATCCAACAGCAACATCTCTTTCCAGATTCAGTGTCCCCATTGCTTTGGATAATACACACAACACAGGACAATTTGTCTGATAGAACGTAGTTCCAATGAAAACATGTTCTGTCGTTTATCTAGACAGGGACATGGGCACTTTTTCTAAAAAGGTATGTTTCTGGCAGTGGTGAAAAATTAAAAGTTATTTTACTCAAGTACTGTATGAGATACACTTTACTTCTACTCCACTACTTTTAAAAATTGAAAATTGAAGCAGCGGTTCCCAATCTTTTTTGCTCCTGACTGCTTACAAAATGGCTTCTGGGCTCCTCTCATAATTCAGATGTCTGTGAGTTGTTCCCTTCCCCTTTTGAAATTCTCACATAATTTTATCTAAATAACTGTTTGAGATCAAACTATCCAATATTTCACCTTAAAGCAAGGAACAAATAAATAGAAAATGAATACAACTAATGTAGAGGAACATAGTTTTTTTTCTCCTTTTCTACCCCGTTAATCGTCACAAAACTAAATAAAGTAGTACATCTTGATGAGCTACAGCAGTAAAATGCTGCTTACACAGACATTGATCAATCAGTATTAACAATCTAATGTCATATATAATAACACGTCACTCACAGGGGACTTTACTGCAGAAAGAGTATTTTTACTTTTGATACAAAGTACAGTTTGCTGATGATTTTGATGATTCTCCTCTTTACTTAAAGTAACAATCTCAAAGATTTTAATTTAAATAAATGTCTGTTAAGTCACTACCCATCGCCAAATGACGTAACAAAGTGGTGATTGAGCCTGATGAAAGTATGCAATATTTATATATTTGCAGTTAACTTTTATTATGAAGATGATGTCACTGAGCTTGACACTGGCCGTTATCGTCTATCGTCTACAAAACGAAATGATTTTTGGCATTCATTGACAGCGGACCAATTTCAAATATTTCAGGGAATAATGGAACAAGAATGAGCAGCCACAGTGAACTGTTAGATCAAGAGCTGCAGGCAATAGGCTGAATACCTCCAACTTCTAAGTGAGGTAACTCTTTTCACTGTGCCCTGCTGTTTGCAGACTCATGCCGTGTGCAGCATAAAATCACATAATAATGGAAAAAGCCAGATTACTGCCTGACTTCTATATTAAAATGACAAGTTTGTTTTTGGATTAGAATCACTGACTACTTTGGGAAAAGGATCTGAGGACTCAATCCACCACTGATTATTGTCTATTATACTGAGATGAATATGTCACAACTGGGGCAAATAAATGCAAAACCACTTACATGGCTAGATACCTCTGGAGGTAAGTGATGTTTCTTTGTAATTTGCGTGTGGACGGCTTGTATCTTGGGTGGTTCATATACTGTAAGTGCTTAGTGTGGCGTTATTGACACAGTGATTGAAAGTTACTTGTGTCCTTAATGGGTTTTATAAACAGGTGAAAGGATAATGACTGGCCAGCGGCTAGATTGGAAAATAATATTCAAGTAAACGTGTTTGTTAGAGGTCTGCAGTTGTGCAAGTACAGTTATTCTTCGCCCTCCGTGACTGGTTTTCTATTCAGCTTCATGCTTTGTGGCCCAACATTTGAAGCCATTCGATCCAAGCAATGAGGCATCTATGACAGCTGCCGTGAGCAGGAAGTGTAAATAATGCACTGCATCTGAGTCAGTGACATGTTTCTCTCCAGTCAATACAGGGGCCAATCCATTTCCATAGCCTTGATATTGCTTCTACTTGAGAAACAGCCTTATTTCCACTTAGTCTGCAGTCATTTGGAAAGGAGCGCTTATTAATGTGATTTGCCTAAAAGATTTTCAACATGCCAAGCTGAATCACTGGTGGGTATCCTTACAAAATAAACATATGGATCCAAACCATTTCAAATCTTGACACTAAAATCATGCCTCACTTCATCTGACATTTAACGTATACACGTAGAGTCAATTTGCTGGCCTATTTGGTGTATTGATCAAAGCCAGGAACATCCCTCCTCTCACCCTGCATGCAATACAAACTCCCTGAAACACATCAAAAAAGTTGCTCTATTTTGTGCTGCGAGATGTAGTTCTTGACGATAGTGCCTCTCTGGAGCTATACATACTGCATGAGTGAGCACCGACAGGCATCTAAACATAACACTGTCAAGTACATTGCAACAGTATTGGAAATTGGTCATTACAAAAGAGAGAGAAAAAGCTGATATTCCTATATTTCAACACAGTTTTGTCAAGTTCTCTACTTTCACAAACATCCCTGAGTGCAATATGAAAGGAAAGCAAGCCTCTTCTATTTGATGTAATCAAGCAACTGCTACTAGAAATAAGCAGGACATAAAAACTGTGTGCTCTCTGATGACATCCAGAATGATTTTCATGAGAATATGGGCATTTTGGTGGCACTGCAATCACCGGCTGAAACAAAACCCATTTCAGTTTAAAAGCCTAAATGAACATTATACGCCCTGACAGTCTGCATTCTTTATATGCTCAGTAAAGCACATCCATATAATATCTCCAAATTTCTTCTTTTACCTTTATTTTTTGCAACACAGCTTTATTTGGTAATCGGTACAGAATACAGACATCTTTTTGTTGTGGCCACATCTATCACCTACTTTACAGCTATTGTAGCTAGTGTCCTTGAGTAAGACATTGAAATCAAAATTGCTGCTGACAGGCCAGCACCTTGTGTGGCTCTGCTGCCATAGGTGTGTGAATGGGTGAATGAGGGGCAAATTGTAAAGCACTTTGTCCTAGGTAGAAAAGCGTTACCAAAGTGTAGTCCATTTGCTATATACAGCTAAGTCTAGATTTTTAATTTCCCTTTTTTTTAAAAGAGCAACCCAGAAACAATCCTGGCTGTAAGCCCTGTTTTAATTAGTGACTGAGCAGAGCGAGAGAAGGTTTTCTTACCTTTCACAATCAATACAGCCACGGCTGACAGGCTCTCCACGTCCGTGTCCACCACACAGATATATTTGCCAGCATGGTAAAGCTGAATGTTCCTGATCATCAGATCTCCTGCTGTTCTCTACCAAGGAGGAAAAAAGCTTTATGTAGCATGAAAGATAACAGACATTGTGACAGCTTATTAAAGAATGTAGTGAAGCATATATAAGGTGCAGTAAATGTTTGCAGATCCTGCAGTTATTCAGCCAGAGCTCTGCGGAGGAAAATAAGGCCCGTTTTTAAAAAGATGTTTTACACCAAAAATAGTTTTCACAGATCTCTTGACAGTTCTTGCAGTCAAAGCCATAAAGGCAAACATAATCAAATTTTTTTGGAATATGACAGAACGTCTTAGTCACACTCTCCTGTCCAATATGAGCTCAGGTGAACAGGATCAAGGCCAGAATTAAAAAAATTGTATGCAGCAAATAGAGTTTTTGTGTTTGACCAGGTCTCGGCTATTTCACTTTCTTTTTGCAGAGGTCATTGCCATGACCTCCAAGACCTGTTGCAAGGAAATACACAAATAATAATTTGTTACTACTGAGTTCAGTCAGTTTTTGCTTAATTGGAGAGGAGGAAAAGCCCCTCTAGATTCTCATCTGAGAGGACACCCATAAGCAGCAAATGGTAAATTAGTGGTGAAATCGTTGGCATTGGCAGGGAAATGTGGCAGTAGAGCCAACGCGGTTTAATTATGGAAATTAAATTCCTTGAAGCGGCAAAGTTAAGTTGATAATCTCTCTGGTCTGGGGACATTCTTGCATTTCTGGGGAAGGAGTCTCTTTTCAGATAAGAACATTGTCAGTCAAACACACACAGGAAGAATGGTTAATCTGGAAGGGAGCAAGGGTGTTCTGAAAGTGTTTTGTCATTTGGGGCTCTGCCATGCTTTCATTCCTTTAAAAGACACCTCTAATGATGTGTATCCCCTTTCTGTTATAAGGAGCTGTGCAGCAGGCTATGTCAGAGTAGGATTTGAAAAGAATTCAAGACCAGCCAAAAGTCTTAAAAAATAGATTACTTCAGAAGGCTGAGCTCCAGTAGGAGAAGTGTACTCAAAAATATGACAACCTGTCACAATGGCTGAGCAACTAACGCATTACCTACATGATGAATTTTATGTAGGAAGTGTACTTTGACATAGCAAACGCCATGTTTCCATTCACAACAGTACAATTGGAAGCTTAGAGGGGGTTGAAGGATCTAATGGCGCTTCTTTCCAAAGACTTTCACATTCCTGCAGCTTATCGTGCCTCCAAGGAGACTTTTAGAATTGCGAAATGGATGGTTTCACACCCGTTGCAGCAAAACTAGCCACAGTGAATCTGTCCATGATGTCAAACCACAAGCTGTCTCTTTTAACTAATGGCAGGGAAGAAGCGAAGCGAGATGGGAAGAGGTGCCAACTGCCCATTCGCACGTTCTGAAGAAGTATGACTGCGGGTCACTCACCCCACCCACTAGCTCAAAGTGACTGTCTCCCTTGGCGATGAGCTGTCCGTTGAAAGCCCAGGAGAAAGAAACGTCAAGGACGGGGTCACTGGCGACCTGACAGGGTAACACGATGCTCTCGCCCACAATGATCTCCATGTCCACTGGCCCCTGGGTGATTCTGGTTGGATCTGCCCCAGAAAAAAAAAAAAATTGTAAGCAGTAGTCATGTCTGACCTGGGCGGCTGCCAATCTCGCACAGACCATGAGACTTTTCTTTGCAATGAGATGAGCAGTGCTTTGTTGATTTTCTAAAATAGAGACACACTAGACTAGAGCATGCTCTGTAATACACTAAGTCACAGACAGAGCAGTATTATCTATATAAAGGAAGGTCTCATGAAAGTCTCAGTCGAATAATGTGATAACATGAAGCCTGCCAGTACTAAAATGGCCTAATACTCCAGGCTGACACTGCTAGAATAATCTTCTGAAATCCTGATAGCAATTACAATACACTATGGATCAGATAAAACTTCATGTAATGGGCTTCTCTGTGCATCCAGAACAAAAATGAGGGGTACTGCTTCAAAGTCTACAATAGCAAATCGTTTGGCTAAGTCGGCTGTGCTTCAAAAGTCAAGATAATGAATCTGCCAGAATCAAATAAAGAAGGTACAACACAAAGGGAGAGGATTTGCACTCTTACATATTACCTTGTGCAGGCTGTCAAGGGATAAATTTTTTTTAAAAGTGTCCCCTGTGTTCTTAAGCCAGTAATAATCAATGTCTGGGTCATGGCTCTGTGTCACTGACTGCATTATGGCCTTGAAAAACAGTCATTTAAAAACATAACTGGCCTTGGCACTTACTGCGTCAGACAATAGCGTTCAGCAGATTAATAAAACCAATAAGAGAGCACGCAACTATCATTCTACTGGAAACACGCGCTCAACAATAGCAGCATCTGTAACACCTCCTCACTTTCATTGCTTCCACTCAGGGCACTTTCATTTGTTGCAGTAAAGTGGTTGTTTCAACTGCTTTGAGGAAAACAATGATCAAGTATTTTCTCAAACACCTTCCAAGTGCATTATTGCAGCCGCTGCAAAATGCAGCCTAACAAAACAACTCAATAAAATGAAGCTGAAAGACAAGAGGTTTTTTTTTTTTTTGAAGTTGCAATTGAGTGTTGGTAACAATTACGCCCTTCCTCAGATGAATCAATATACGCAAATAACTTTTAAAAATGAATCTAAAGACATTTAAGGATGTTACTTAATTATGCAAGGATGTTTAGCCCCTCAAGGAGAGCGCCAACCCAAAGTTTTTAAGCACTCCTCGGAGCAAAAAACCTAAAGTTTGTTTCTGTTTTCTGCCCACCAGTTATTGACTCAAGTCCTTGCGGTACAGTAGCTCTCTTCTGTGTTAATCCATACTGAGCAATAAATTCTGCTTACTAAGTGGGACGCCCAAACATTCTGCTATTTAAGAGCGGAGCTTACCCGTAACGAGGAGCCTTCCCGTTGTACTCGACATGCCAAATCTATTCCGAGCGAAGCATGTATAGCTGCCTGCGTCAGATTTGCTCACGTTGGCGAGCCTCAGTGTTCCATCTGGAGAGAGTGTGATCCTATAGGAGAGTACAAACAGAGGAGGCAGCTTACAATCTAATTTGCAAGAGCAACCAATCATTTGTTAAAGTCTGATTCTGGATCTGTCTACATGTCAATGTTCTGCATGATCATGGACATCGAGGAGTTAAGCAGTCCGTATATGTGCAGTGAATATTGATCAATTAGACCAAACAAGGCCTGAAAAGGGGCGCAGGTGGGATGAATAATGCACCTGCTCTCTTATCTACACAGAGAAAATACTGAATTGGATATGTGCGTGCATTACTATCACTACTTTGAACAGCCATCAGTCTCTTGCTATGCCATCATAAAAGCGTTTTCAGAACACGTGCAGCAACTTTCAGTTCAGTCATTACCTGTCATTGGTGTGGATAGGCAGGTTTCCTTTCTTCCATAAAATGCTGGCGATGGGATAGGCCTGGGGTTTACACTCTAAAGTCACTGTAGTTCCTGCCTTGGCTTTGAGCAAAGCTCTGAGGATATTCCCTGTGAAGTCTGGGGGAGAGGCTGATGGGAAACAGTAAACTGACTTTAGTACAAGACTGCAGCAAATCTCACAGGGCATCTGAAGCATGCTTCAATTTGATCTTTGGAAATCATCACATGGTAAAGTAATGGAGACAGACATTTTAAACATCTGTAACGGGAATCAAATAAATATAAAATCAAATCACTTTTTTAATTACATTTTCTACGTATACAATGGATTTAAGAAAGTCTTTTTAATTGCTTTTTCTACAGAAGATCTTTACTGTTCAACTGGGAATTCTGTATCCATCACCCCATCCTCACCATAACATCAAAGTAAATCAGGATATCACCAAGGGAAAAATTATTTTTTAAATGTGTTTGGCCCCACAAAACCACCCTCACTGACCCCATTATCTGCTAATCCAGACAACCTTTAAGAATGACAGTAAGTTGACCTTTAAGATTCTTTGGCAACAATGATTTAATCGAGAGATAAATGCCATTCCTACCTAAAACCATTAGTTCAGCAGCAAAATATATGACGCCGTGTTTATTCTCAGCCACACACTGGTACATGCCGGCGTCAGATAGTGTCAGCGCTGACACTGACAGGACTCCATCCTCCACATGGATTCTGTCCTGTGAAGAAAGGGATGAAAGAAAGCAATTATGGCCGAAGACTTAAAGGTAGCTTTTGCTTTGCTCAGCATGCTCTGGCAAAGCTCAATAAGCATTGGATTGGGTTAGAGGCTGTGTCAATGGGCACAGATCAAATCAGGATTATGTTGCAGAGAATGAATCACAGTCAGAGAACAAACTATATTTTTGTTTTCTAACTATGCTTGTTCACACCACCACGTAAACCAGTATTTATAGCGCACCAGTTGGTCCTGAAACGGTTTCTAAATGGATGGTTTCAGGACCAATATCCTGCATTTAAAGGTAAGCTTGCAAAATCTGTGTCCGTGTGGCTAAATTCATTATTAGCCTGTCATAAAAGTTCAATTTGTTCCCATATAAACGCATCATCAAACATTTTTTATGAAAGATTTACAGATTTTTGTCTGAGGTGTTACATCTGAGGTTATTGTATTACATAATCCATAGAACTAAACGCATCAGTCCAATCTCAATTGTTTCTGTTTCTGCCTGTGAGGATGATGCTCTCACATTGATTCTCAATATAATTTTAATAAAGGTATGTACACACACAACAGTCACATGCTGTATATCCGAAACCGGAAATCATGAAAACTAGATAATACTGCACCTTTAATGGTCCAAATGCCAATCATATTCTAAATCTTGCAACAGTGAATATATTCTTGAAATTTAAATTAATGAATGACATTTACAAAATGTCTTTTTAATAATAACATCAGACAGGTTATATTTGCAGTCTAACTTAAAAAGAAGAAGCTTTGCCCTGAGCATTATTAAATGAAAGAAAATCAAGTTCAAAGCTCTGGCCCTGAAAATACACACAATTTCTCTGGTGGTCTGGAGTAAGGTGTGCTGGTATATACAGTATATTTCACAGAAGATTAAGCCCATTGTCCCTAAATCTGGAGAAGCTTAAACATGCACCATGAATAATGAAAAACAACTAGTGACTCCATTCAGATGAAATGGAGCAATCTCCCAGGGACTACACTGATCCACTCTCTAAGACTGTGTAATCTACCAAGGTAGAGCAGAATAAGAGACAGTTACATCCATGTCTCATCACTGGCACACCTCAGCAAGATGTTTACACTCTCCTCTCATCTCACTCTAAATTACACTTGGAAAAACAGCAATGCGTTAGACGCCAGGCTCTCTAAAATGAAAAGATGAGCTGAAGCTGAAGATTAAGTCTTTAAAATGAAATATTGGTAGGTAGCAGGAGACAGGCAGTAATTCACCTCTGAGAGTAGCTGCTGGCCATTTTTCAGCCACGTGTAAGAGGGTTTCGGCTTTCCATTGGCCCGGCACTCCCAGTACAGTCTCTCCTCTATGGCCAGGGCCGTGTCCTTCATGGCCTGAATCCACTGAGGCTTGGCTGCGGGGAACAGAAATACACTCGAGTGAAATATCTGCCGGGGAGCAGGAGGACAGATTTTGAAGGAGCAGAATGATCTCATTAAATATGGCGCATCCAAAATAAGTTCAAAGGAAAGCAAGGCGCTGATTGACAGCTCAAATAAGTAGACATCTTAGAAGAAAAAAAAAAACATTTGGAGAATGGGTTTGTGTTAAAAGATGATAGACGAGAGAAGAGTGAATGCAGGGTATCACTCAGTTTCATCACTTAAATATGTTAGCAGCCAGTGGCAACTCAAGATTAGCACCACAGACTGCGCCACAAAGCAGGAAGCTCTCATGACGGGTAAAGTGCACCCGACACCACCGCTCACCTCAACCTGTCACCTAAATTCTGTGTCTAATAAACATCATCCCTGTGCGTTTCCCATGCAGCACACAGCTCACCCTGCATCTTACCTCTTACATATTTACAGCTTTTCAGGATTTTTTCATGGGTAGAGTGTTGTGCCCATAATAAGCACAGCTCACTTCGCAGGCACTGTACATACCGTCAACTCCAATTTCACAAGTGTCATTTTCCCTCTCTCACAAAATTCACGGCTGAAGTAAGCCAAGAACCCAAAAATGTAAAAGAAATTGCAATAAAATTAAAACCAACAGTGCTTTTTATTTGGAGAAAAAGAAGGCTGTGTATAGGACAATATAGCTCTTGAAATTATTATTATTATATTACCAAATAAAGATTCTTAACCACTTAACCAATTCTTGATGTCACACACAAACAGAATTAGAGTTACTACAAGGAACATTTATTTTGTGTTGCGGCCCCTGTAGACAAAAGTGGTAGCATTCTGTCGTAAAGATCCTAAACTGGTTTTGGAGGAGAGCAAAAGAAAGATGCAACTTATTTTTAATTTATAACATTTTTCTTTTTTAAACACAGCTGTTTGCAGGATGCATAGCAATGAGATAATGTATCTACTTGTGGCTATGTAAGATTAATAACTGTATGTGATGATGGTGAAACAAAGTTAACTTCATTCATGCACCTAGGTTACATATAAGCCTACAACTTGCAGGTTTGGTTGCTGTTAATAGTCATTTTGTTGAGAAAGCTAAAGTTATCAATATCCCCTAGTCATTGTATGTCTTCATAGCAAGATATAGCTTGGTTAATATACAATAGAACAGAATCATGTACACAGCCATTTGCATTATATGCTAAAGTGCAGACTAACAGCTGTAGGCAAACACATATTACATACCATCATGTTCTCGCCCATGCTCTATCACTGTTCCCTTTTCTCTTTGCTGATCCTTCCCCAGTATCAGCCATAGCCACAAAATAAATAAGAAAAGACCTCTAATTGGCTACGTACTACTCACGGCAAATCTTTGCCTGGGAAAATAAAAACATCAGCTCTTCTGGTCTGTGTGCCATACATTGGACCTTGTGGCTGATTAAGAATAAATATATAGAAATAAGCCTATATATCTTCTCGCTGATGGTCTTGTTTGCTTATATAGGTCATATAGAGGCATATGTATTAAATTGAGACTGTTTCATAACCAGTTTGAAACTTCTTGTAGTAACTTTAAATTAGAAACAAAAGTCTTAAAAGTACCATAGAAGGCCAGACGACCAGTGGCTGTGTTCTTGCCCATCTTGTTCTCAGCCACACACTCGTATCCGCCTGTATCATCCTGCTGGAAGCTGGGGATCTCCAGCACAGCATTCGAGTACTTCATTTTGACTTTGCTGGGGAAGGGGACGCCGTTAGCCCTCTTCCAGGTGATCTCTGGGACTGGGCTGGATGAGACAGAGGAAGTAAACCCTCAGCAGAAAGTCATGACTCAAGTTCCTTTGAAATTTTTTAGATTGTTGCAGGTGTCTGTAATAATCCTGCAATAAAGTGTTTGATGGAGCTTAAAGCCTATTCACTGTATTATTATTTTTTATGGATGAATGGCTTAGAGTTAACTCAAACCAACAACAATCATGGCTTGATGCCACACTCAAGAAATGTAATTGCCACAGTAACTTTACTATATAGAAATCCGAAGGTTCCTCATCTGGAATGAAAGACAGCAGAAGATTGAAAACATGCTTCAAGGAATCCAGCTTACTTCCCAAGGGCGAAACACTCCAGCGTAACTGTTGATCCTTTTGCGGCGGGTACATTGTCTGGGAAATTAACTTCTATTTTCGGCTCGTATTCTCCCATCACTCCTATGAAGAGCAAGCACAGGAACTTGCTCAGTCTTCCATTATTCATGACTTACAAGCAATATGGCATGCATTATGGACCAAACAATAGCACTGTAAAACTAACAGAGGAGAAATAAAAGACACATGAGCAAACATTCTCTCATGGGTAAACTCAAAGTAGTACATCATTTAAGTGTGCAGTCGCCGGAGTACAGTGGAATACCAGCAAGGAATAATTCAAATCTCTTCTTCTGGAATAGACAGAGTATATAGGAAATCTTCTTTTTTCAGCTAGTCTGGCTGTTTATCTATTATTTCAAAGCTTGAGTGGCCAGTCCCCAACCTTTGGTATTTTAGTATTAATAACAGTATTCAGGGAAGAGACCAGGATCAGAAAGCGATACGATAGGATTTAAATTTATGCAGCTACATGTACAGTACACTGAGTGGAAACTAACTGGTTGAGCCACCAGAACACTCAATGTAATGGTCCAGTGACGTATGGCTTATGTTTAATTCATTCCCGAAGGCAATCTTTATTCAATCTTTCCATGAAAGCGTAACAGAGAAAAGAACAACAGGCCACTGAGAACCGGCCCGAGAATTCATGTGAAAGCACAGGGAAAGCTTTTAAAGGGAATGCGAATTATAAGAAAGCCAAGTCAGCAAAGAAGAGATTTGGGTGCTTTGTTTGCTGGCCTACATTGAGGAGCAACTATTTACTTACAGGCATTAGCACTCAGTGACTCAACTACGGTGAGGCACGACAAGAGGACAAAGAGTACTCATGCTAGTATGATGATTAAAGCAAACTTAAAAGAAAAGGTCCTGAATACATGGCTGAAAGGCATACTTGTCACATCATGGCCATAAGCTGCGGTCTTACCATCTGTCCTGAGGATCAGAGACGTGGGCGAGCTATGAACTTTGCCCTTTGTGATGCTGTTCATCACTACGCAAGTGTAGTTACCCACGTCAGAGGGCTCCACCTTGGCAATGTAAAGGTTTCCTGTCTGCTGGGAGACGAAACGCCGATTGTCTTGTTGAACAAAGTAGGGGTACTCATTGAAGACCCATGCATACGTAAGGTCTAGAAATGTAAAAAAGACACAGATCATGGGTACCATATACGTGATATTAAATGTGATTATAAAAAAGGCTAATCAATAGTGGCAAGATTTGACTTTTATCTTGTTAAAGCACCTCACTAGAACTTTAAATAACTGCGAGAGAAGGCCAGAGAGTTTACCTCCTGAGGAAGTGGGCGTCCCACAAAGCAGCACCACTCCTTGTCCCTCTCGGACTGACACTGCGCTTCTGGTGTGGACTTTGAAATGATCTAAGTCTGAGGGGGGAAAAGAAATGAAAAGAAAGATCACCTCAGGATCTCACATATCAGAGAGGAACAGGGCTGAGTAAAAGCTTTCAGCAAGACACTGACACGAGCCCATAAGGAAATCGTCATGAGAATTGCACTTCTGCAATGCCTGAGAGAGAGATAGAGGCAGGGCGGGACACAGAAGAGCTCGTATGTATGAGGGGGTTTTGTAAAACACCGAAATGCAGTACAGAAGTTTGTACCCCCGGCCTAAATTAGATGTTAGATATAAATTTTATGACTTGGGAACTAGACAAAAAACAGGCTATGATTCCAGTCGTGTACACGTCTATGAAAGCTCTGGAACCACATGAGCATTGCATGATAGGATGGGCTGCATCCCAAAACAGGAGAATAACATAACAAGAATAAGTTAAAAACACAATTTTTAATACAAAGTATTTCAAATAAATACTTAATAATACCATGTGATGTGGTTGGTTGTTCTAACTGAAGTTATAGCACGTTAAACAAGTATTATTATATTTACAGCTTCACATCCAAATAATGCTGAGAGATAGAATTCAGGTGTGTTAATAGTGAAAGGGATTATCAAGTGTAACCAGGACGTTACTTCTGGAAAGAGGCATTGTTGGTGAGTTCATTGAATGTCATTATTCAATTTTCTTATCTTAAAAGCTTGTCAGATACAACCAAAAATAATCTACGTGGCCAGATACCACCAAGAGAAGAGAGGAGGTGTGAAAAGATGTCTTTGTTGTGATGTGCATGAATAGAAGCCTTAATGAACAGTACAAAAATAGTCATTTTTTGTTTCTTTATTTGTTTGCTTCAAGGTTTCAATAAGAATTCAAGAGTTTTGTATACAGTCTAACTAAAACATTTTGTGGCAATGCAGTTGTAATATACAGCAATGTTTGCACTATTTCTTCTACTCATATTTAGTACAGGCATATTATTGTTCTAGTCAAATTACAGTTGTGTTTCTTCAGGCTTTAGTCCTTTCAGATCCGTACACTACTTAAGCAATTTAGTTAGACTACATTTGCCCCAGAGTACATCCGAAAAAACACCAATGACTTTTGACCGAGCTGAGCGACAAAAAGTCTTAGTTTGCATGTATGAGCACAAGTAAACAGTCGTCACACTCAGCCTCGCTCCCATTTAATGTACTTTCACACCAACGTTGCAGCACTCTGATAAATATTGCAAATACAGCCCACCCAGTTTGCTGTGCGTCTGCATTATTTGCTAAGTGCAGTTACACTTCCATGCCATTTCTTAGTAAAACAAAAGTGACAAAAAACTGACTACAACTTACAGGCAAACTGCAGACTTGCTCTCCTGCTGAGGATAGCTCCTACAGTGTTGTACGCCATACACTGGTACATCCCCACATCCTGGTAGCGGTCCAGACTGCTTATAATGAGGTTGCCCCCAGACAGACGCCGCCGGCGATCCAGGCCCAGATTTATGAGAGTCCCATTCAATGACCATCTGTGGGGGCAAAGACACCATCAGTCCCTGGCAAAACGCACTGTCCATTTCTTCCTACCAACCAAGGTGGTCTGACAGGAGGTGAGCTGAGAACACAACTCACTGTAGTAAGTCACTTGAAGTAAGAATAATTTACTGTATATTTGTGCTGGTGCCGAGGAATTCACAGGCTCGAAGCATGAACAGAATTAACTTTACAGTTGTGGTTTTAGTCATTAATTCTTCTCCTGCAGTTCCCAAACTTTCCTGACACAAGTCATAAAGAGTAACGTAGAAAGGGCCTCTGTAGTCTTAGTCACATTTTTGTTTTCTTTACCGTCCTAACTTCTTGTCAACTGACATTTTCACAAATTGCAAGTTTAGTATGTTTCATAAATGCTTCCTAGTATCATATTATGCATATGTCTCATGTTTGCTGCATATTTCCTGGGCCTGTAATCTAATAGCGAATAATGCTGCAATGTCCATATGACTAAGTCATTTGTTTACATTACATGTTATAGTGTTATTGGTTATGTGTTTTATGCAAATGTCTTATTTATATTGTATTTTTCTGTTTTCATTCTATTTTTCTTTATTTGGCTCTATGACTATTTGCTGCCGCAGCTATCCCATTTTCCCCACAGGGATCATTAAAGTTTAATCTTAGAGTATCATACACAAAGCTGTCCTCTGCTATTTAAAGGAAGCAGAAGATAAAGGTTTAAGAAGCCATCCTAGATATTATCATCAGTCTTAACCATAATCACCTCTTCTCTGTCACATTATATTTACATAATGTGACATTATTCCACCTTTGACTTCTCATTAGGACATAACATTATCACTTGGCAAGAGGTAACAGCGGGCTGATGTAACAAAAGATGCCTTTTATGCTCCTTTTCACCTTCCATTACATCTATCCCACACTTAGCTGGCACAGGAATTAAAAAAGAAAAATCTTTGTGTAGCAGGTTCAGATTCCGCTATCAAATAAATGAAACACATACAGAACTCTTGAAAACATGAGGTTAATTCATTGATTCAAACAAGTCCTATTATTTAGCAAGAAAAGACTCTTTGTCTACCACCGCAACACTTTTTAACTGCTTTTCAAAAATGGAGCGTGGACGGGTTCAAGGACGGAGCACTTTTCAAGAATGTTCCATCATTTTTCTGAAAGCACAGAAAATATATTTTTTTCCTTCAGCCACATTTTTCTATTCTGCTTTCCTTAAGAGGAAATGAAAGACATGGAGGCCATAATGGGCAACTTTCCAAACGCTTTAGAGTCTAGCTTTCAGAATTATTTCTTAAAGAATACATCCAAAGTATTGAATGTTGATGAGGGCTTGCTGCCATATTCTAGACACTTATAACTGATAGCTGCGTTTATGCATGTATTGAAATTAACAATACTTCCTCGGGCGAAACAGCACGAGAGACTGCAATAAATACCTAAAGGATTGCACCGGCTAGCGATACGTGCCCGTTTGTGTTTAGGTGTTTGTGTCCACTCATATGCATTCAGCTCTTTATCCCTGAGTCACCACTTTCACCTCTCTTTGACCTGCTCTGAAGTGCCTCTGCTGTTCAGTGGTGCCCTGAACATTCGGCAGGTGATTGAATAGCAACTCCAAAACTCAATTACTCTGCTTGAAACTCATTTTGTAAACATATGTCGTCTGACCATCTAACCACGGAGAAGCTTGAGTATTTCAGATGATCCTGCGGTCCAGAGCCACAGGCCTCAGACCTCAGGTCGGGAAAAGGTTAGACAAGTCACCTTCTGTTTAGATCTTTAAAACTGCATCGCTTTTACGACCCGCCATGGAGAAGATGCTTTTCTACACAGGATGTGCCTTTCTCCTGTGAGTTTTTAATGCTGCTACAGTGTGCATACGATGAATGTCTCATCTCTTTATGAGTGACAGGACTGGCAGAGGAAAGGGGAAGGAAGAAAAGAGAGGAAAGGGGGAGGGAGCAGTATGATCCCATTTACACTTCAAGAGAGGAGCCAGAGAAGTGCTGAGGGCATGTAGAGCCTAGCACAGCCAGCTTGACAAGACACCACGTTAAACATGCTCATCTCACCTTTAATCAGTACATAGAAATACCTGGTCTTAGGCAAGGAATGTGAAAAGCCTGAAATAATGAGCATACGTACTTCACACCACTATCATTCAGTTTGTCTGTGCTGCAGTAATCCACTGCTGAACACCAAAGACACTTGTAATCAATGCCTGTTGGTGCCAACTGGTGTCTAGCAACCTGCAACTGTCTCATGGTATTTTTTTTTTAATAAAGGGAGAAAGTGCATTGAGATGCTACATGTGACACTAAGATAATATCTGGCAAAACAAGAGCCAGATTGGAGGCGTGTAAGTCAATAGGAATCAGTAAAACCATAATGTGTATATATGTGTATATTTATATCCCTACGGTACTGTAAATTACTGAAATGTGCTTTACATAAAGTGGCCAGGTTGACAGTTGCATAAAGAATATGTCTATATCTATATATACTTTGGGGTTTTTAAAGATTTGTTTTGCTTTGCACCAGATACTATTTCAAATTCTCCTTTAAGCTGGTAGTTTTCAACAGATTTTTATACGCCACAGACCCCAAATTATGTTTCCTGCACAGATCACAGTACTTAACATTAAGCAAGGTCCTCTTTTGACATTGACAACTCATAAAATTCTTTCAGTAATGAAAGTGAAGAGAAGAATAAGGGGAAAGTGCACGTTAGCTGCTGATTAAGAGTCTCTCTAAATTCTCACAAAAGAAGCAATAAATGGTGATCATTACTTCTTACTAAACTAGTTTTTGTACTGCAAATGGTATTTTTAAAATCCAGTTTTCAGACGGATTTGGGGATTATTGATTTGTAAATCAAATTTTCATTTATACTTTAGTGTGTAGGATTTAGTGGCATCCAGCAGCGTAGTTGTGGATTACACCGTATCGTTCCAAGCATGTGTAGTAGAAAATATGGTGACCATGAAACTTGCTACTTAGTAGAAACATGGCGGTTCTGTATATAATAACAGATCATTCTAAGGTAACAAAAACATTGCAGTTCTTATTTTCAAGTGATTGTTCACTAATGATACCTCTGAATATTATATTCCATTTCTGCCATTAGAGTCTCCTCAATGCTCCACACTGGGCCTGTAATAATCACAGTAAACACAAATTGATACATTTATTTTTTAAAACCTCAAATAATAAGCCGCATCTTACCTGTACTGAGGAGGTGGTATTCCTTTAGCATCACAGGTCAGAGTAGCTTCTTCTTCTATGGAGTCGACAGGAATGAACAAGTCACCAGGCTCCATCCGCCATCTTGGACCATGGTATGAGCCACTGTCCAGACAATCTGTCAGAGAAACAGTAACAGCCTGAGTATAACGACAAAAAGTTTTTTATTTTTTATTTTGATAGAATCCGGACTCTATAATTCCCTGTTCTTTTGGACAAAAAAGGGTATTCAGGTCTAATAGGGAGACCCTTTCAAAATGGGAAATGACTGAACATTACAGAACAAATAAACAGAACAAAATGAACAGAATGTACCACTGCACCATTCCTGTCACCTCACAATACAATTGTATTTTCATATGATAAAAGAAGGGAAAAAAATATTTCAGCATTCATTGGCAAATTGAAGTTTATATTTTAAAAAATTCCAATTTGTTGTGAATCTAGAGAAGCAATCCTTGCTCTCTGTTCATTATTAACACATACATTTCTTCAAGTAACAGAAGTGGTAGCCTTTGCTCTGTGTGTTGTGTTACTTAACTGTTCTACTAAGTGCCAAAGATAAAGTATAAAAGACAAGGAAAACACTGCAAATGTCTCTCCAGTAGGTTACAATCACAGGGTGGTGTGGAGAAGATTGAGAGTATTGTGTCCGTGTTGTGAATGGAAGTCAATACTAAGGAGTATTCCTTTAAACCGGGGTCCATCCTATCATCTCTGACACTGACATGATTTTCGGCTCTTCAGCTATCATCCCGCAACTGTAAATGTCCAAACGTGAAAGAATCATTACTCATATAAAAAGGTGGTTTACCTGCCAGACAGTCAATGATTGATAACAGTAGAAGCTGTTTCCATGGCAACGTCATCTTTGGCAGCCAAGGGCAAATGAGACTTTCATCCAATAAGCTTTGAAATGGCACTCGTGTTCTCCGAGAGAGGGGAGCTTGACCTGTTGGAACAAGAAATTTGTTGTAAAAAGGCCAAACTCAGCAAACCCCAACATTTTTGTATCCCACTTTAAACATTATGCCTTTTAATAATCCACCCGGAGAAGACAGGGGAGGTGTAAATTTTAGTAGTGAAAATGTAATCACGATAAAATTGGATGTGGAGTTTGGTGCAGGATGTGTCTTATTTCTTCAGCCTGTTCTCACATTTCTAATCAGTGAAGATGCAGGCGGTGTCACTTTGTGCCCCGTGGCTCGGCCAACTTGCACCCGGAGATTTCTGTGGGTGATACCAGAGGCATATGGGAGGAAGCCCATGCCAATCTATTAGGGGAGCGACCAACGCCTAAGCTCATCCTTCACTTGGACGGATTCACTCTGGCTGCCTGAGGAGACTTGGACCTGGGAATTGGGAGCCATCCAATCAATTAGATTCACCCACAGCAGCATGTGTCTCCCCACATGCTGGGGTGAATCAAGACAGCCTGATGAGGAAGCCATTCCACCCAGGTCCATAATCAAGGGCAAGTGTCTGTCTGCTTGTAGCATGTGTTGCAAATTGCAATGCACCCACTTCTTGCAGGAGGAGACTGAGCGAGTAATGATGCAATTATGAAATGTCAAACATACACACAACGGAAGAATCGGCAATAACACAGCAGTTAAGAGAACAGTCACACGCACATGCACGTGTTCAGAGTAATATGCAGATCTGTGTCTCATCAGTGCGCACCTGCATCAAAACATGCACATGAATGAGCGGGCCTGCACACACGGAAACACAAATTTCTTCCGAGAAGTGTTGAAGATATAGTAAGGGCATACACAGATAATAACACACGCTAAATGTCACACAACCCACACACACCTACACACCAAACTCACTTTCTCACTGTGTACAACACATGTAACACCCTGCCTCCACACGCACACTTTCCATTTAGAAGACATAAGCCGTGATGTGTGGCTCATTTGTGGCCTAATCCTGGGGCGAGCCTGGTTCAGAACGCTACTTATGGAGGGTCTAATTGTTTGTCAGCTGCCTGGACGTCAAATTAGACACGTGGGGTCTCAGCCAGGATTTTCTTCCCTACCTTTCATGTTTGCTCAGTCCTTTTTCTTCCCCCCAAAGTCTGCAAAATTGGATTGGTACGCTTCCTCTCAAGAAGAGCCCTGCATGCCATACCTCAGTGATAGGCCCACAGTGTGCAAACTGCTGGCACCTCAGGACTGAGGATTGGTGTGTGGAAGGTACAGTGGGTATTACACTACTGTCGACTTTGCATGTTCTGGTTTGCATTTGTAATGGGGTTTTGTCAGGGATGGCACCGTCTAACAGCTGATGAAATTTATTCCTTTATTTTTCATGCAGATCTAATAAATCATTTACAAATGCAAAACACTGAGTTACAGAATTCTGTCAGTGATATCATGTGTGCGTACTGTATAAGACACACATGAACACACAGACACAAGCATGTAGGCACCCACCCACACACACGCACGCACGCGCACACACACACACACACACACACACACACACACACACACACACACACTCAGAGTCACACGCACCTTCTCAGCTTGTACTCATGGATAATGGTGCTAACGATGACGGTGATAAAAGGTGGAGAGAAAGCTTTGCAGGGTGAATCACTCTCAATCGAGGAGGGTACCTTTCTGTAACAACACACCACTGGGTTAACTGACACGAAAAAATAAATGTATAATCACGATATCTACCACCTCCATCACACTCCGCCTGCATCCAAGTAACATGCTGGTTGAACAAATAGCCCAGCTGGCAGAGTGGGAGGGTACTTACTTTGAAGGCCTGAGCTGCATTCATCACAGATATTCCATCTGACATTGTGGCATACCAGTATGCAATTACCTGGTGAATGTTGCAGGGTGGAAATTTGTGTGTGTGTGTGTGTGTGTGTGTGTGTGTGTGTGTGTCTGCGCACACCTTTAGCACTTACTGTATCTCAGGAGGCATAAAGCCAATCATTGCTATGACACTTCTCAAGGTTTGCGGTGAATATTTTTTCCCCCTACCTTCTAATACCTTAGAGGAGAGGAGGAGGTTCCTTGAGTGCACCTACACATATCCATTTTTTCTCTTTTATCAGCCAGCGCACACAAACAACAACAATGCCAAGTCCACTCAAGGCTGATTTAGCCCTTCAAATGTGTTGGTGTTGGCCTCTAGCTACACATTTTTCAGAAGGTGAGGTGGAGTGAAACCGGGATGCAGTGTGGCATCACACCAGGTAGGAACCACAGGAGCAGTTAGATAGAGCCCTAAAAAAAACCCATGCACTGTAATGTAACAGCACCTCTGCATCAAAGAGACAGACAAAGAAAGGCATGGCTGAAAACTACTTCTTGTTATAATAAATACAGTGCCTGTGTGTCTGAATGCCATGCACCCCCCCCCCTCACACACACACACACCACACACACACAACCAGACAACTCAGTGTGGAGGAATTGGCTGCAGTTGGGAGGGCACGTCACGTTACTCCAGTCTAAAATAAACAATTATTATCAAATATATGGCAGCAGGAATTGATGGGGGCCAATTCGGGATAGCAGACGAGACAGGCCGATGCGTGAGCCCGTTAGAGTGGATAAATGTTTTAGCATATAAATATCACGGTGTGAATAATTGAAGCTTTTCTGTATTTGTGCACGTTCACCATCGCCAAGCGCGCTCGTGAGCTTTATTATTTATTTTTATTATGTGTGTGTGTGTGTGTGTGTGTGTGTGTGTGTGTGTGTGTGTGTGTGTGCGTGTGTGTGTCTTACCTCTTATCTTGAAATATCTTGAGACCAGCAGGAACAAAATTGAGCCCTAGCGGATAAAGCGACAGATGGATCCTCCATGGAAAACACTGTCAGGAGAAATTTCAGTCCCAATCGCAAGGTCGCGCATACAGGTGAACGGATCTGAGCCGGTGGTCAGTCACATATAACGGGGTAACGCAGGAGGCATAAACACACGCGTTTCATATCGCTGCCCCCCCCCCCCCCTCCCACCCTCCCTTCTCTTCCACTCCCCACCAAAAAAAAAAAAAAAAAAACCCCAAAACACACACACACACACACGCAAGCACACAACACCCACGTTGTTTGCTGTGCTGAATCACATTCGAAACATCCCCCGGTTAAGAGGCTCGACTCTCGCCTGTGTTTACGCTCGCAAATCCAACACGCGTAGGTCTGAAATTGGACTTGAAAAGGGAATCTTGCAGAGATGATTTATTATGCGCATCAAGTCGGCTCCCCCTGCGAAGAAGAAGAAGAAGAAGAAGAAGAAGAATAAGTGGGCTGCACAGGCGGCGAGGAGGGCGATGGAACAGCCAGAAAGCAGCAGCGCTGGGATGGGAAGGTGCGGGAGGGAGGGAGGAAGGGAGGCGCACCTGGCGGAGAACTGCACCCCCCTGCGCCAGACCTCAATATTGCAACGGGATTGTGGGACACTCGTGGTTCACCATTAGTGGAGCACGGGGATCATTTGTGTTTTCCTTTCAAGGCATTTTTTTTTTTTTGCCAAAGTCACAGGCAGAGGATTATAGCTGTAGATGTCTTTGGTGAGGACTTTCCCCTTTTCTGGCCCGCATGCAGCCTATGATAACAAAGAGATGGCGGACAGCCCCAATAACTGTATGCCTATATATATACTGTATATGTATAAATGTATATATATATTTATATGTATATATTACAACTTTAGTTTAATTCCAGTCCAGTTAGAAAAAACATGAACTAAAACTCATACTGAATCACATGTGTGTGGAATCAGTGTAAGCCTGCAGAATGTTGCTTTTTTTTTTTTTTTTTAAATGATGCATTCATTAAAGCTAAACATTAGATAATAAGAAATATTTGACCAATGGGGAAGATTTTTTTCCTCTATTGCCTCTTACTAGCCATGGGGTCCTACATGAACACATACTTTTCTTCCAGAGTTCTGTGCTCTTCTCTCTGATTTTAAGACTAATTAACTAACACCAGTCAGGATTTGGAAACATTTGAATCAAAATCTGATAATGTTATTTTAAAGACATTAGAAAAATATATATATATTATAGACATGCTTAAGACTTGAAGCCATACTTTAAACCTTCAAATCTGAATTTACATTGGTAAAGAAAATACTTTCATGCCAGTACTCCTTCCAATTTTATACCAATATACTGACCAATAGTTTGGATAAACTGGAACGTTTTTTTCACAGGGTGTGTCTTACATCAATCTTTCTGAAAAACTGAAAGTAAGAAAAAAAAGTAAAATTGGTATCTGGGATATTAACATTTAATTTTATCCATAATTTTAGCAAACTATTACAATAATTATTTAATTTTGCAAATGCAAACAAATACAGAGGGGTGCAAAAAGGACTCTGAAGGCCAACAAAATAAATAATATTGTGTTTGGTAAAATTATGAGGTTTGAGTTTCACTGTGTAGTAGTAGTTATTATTTAGCTGAGAGGAAGACAGTTTCATCTTTTCAGAAAGATAAGAGGAACACTCTAGCTGTTATTTCACTCTCCTTACAGTTTTTTTTTTTTTGCTCAGCTAACAGGTTGCTTCATACAACCGTGGTATCAATATTCTAATCTGGGCTAGAAAGCCAATAAACATATTCCCCAAAGTGTTCCTTTAACAGCAATCACAAGCTAGAGACATGTTATATCAGGAAAAGTACAGGTGTAGTTAACAAGATTAATATTGGCTGCATTTCATTTAGGTTTGCCATTTTGCATGATGGCTCACTGCCATGGTTTACTGCAGCACTTCAATGAACACTTAAATGCATGTGCCTGTCCTGTCATTTATATCTAATTTTAAGTAAAGTATATTGCCTTACAGACTCCCTAGAATATGTGACATTGTAAAACAGTGTGGGGTGCTCTGCCTTTTTTTTTTCTTTTTTTTTTTTAGCAAATTGAAAGGACCAGTGGGTTGGATTCATAGCATCTAGTGGTGACGTTGTAGATTGGAACCACATGAATACAGCTCAGCCTTCAAAGCGTGTAGTTTGAAGGCTGAGCACTGAACCTTTAAAACTAATCTATTTGCAACACTATTAGTAACACCTATTTTATACACCATTTTGGACTAAGTTAATTAACTTAAAGCAGTATTAATATATTTCTGACCACTAGGGGACATAATGTCTCCGAAACTAACTCCTGAGAAAACTGGGTCTAGGTTGCTTTGGTTCCACTTTCTTCACCAGTCACTTGTTTACTTCAGCAAGTCTTCATTTCTCACTAGACAGGCAGCATAAAATCAGCTTGTGTGCGCTTATGAGCCAGGAGTGGCTGCCAGTTATAATATGTGGGGTCAGTGAGAGCTATTGGGACTCAAGTATACATGTACCAGAAAACCAATATAATGAGTTGCAAGTGGCTGAAAACATAGAGCTGCAGAGTGGGGTGTTAAAATTACTCAAAAATGTGTGAGTGTGGCTTCTTCTTTGTGTGCAAGTGGGGTATGCACAAGGGCTCAGTGACATCACTCTAACTTTAAAAAAAAAACCTCTTTTCCATTGTACCACTTACACACAAAAATGCACCTGGTCATTATGGAAATGTAATGGAGCAGGTACCTGTGGTTAAAACACAAATACAAATTAAGTGTGCTATTGATAATATTGAGAATTGGAGACATTTCTTCCTCTCTAAATGGCTCTTCTCACTGTAATTGTGATACGTAACAGTAGAAAAAGGCTATAAGTATAAATAGAGGGGGCTGTATGTCGTGCAGACTGTAAAGCCCTCCAAGACAAATTTGTGGTTTTGGGCAGAAAAAAGTAAACAGAAAATTGACTTCACTTCACTATAATTCAAAACTGCTTTCGCCAACTGCAAGAAATTGGGTTGCTGCGCGTACTGAGTTGCAGAAGGCTGACGTTTCACAGTTTTTGATAAGCATCCGCTGACAGCTTTGGTTTATGGTGAAAGGATGTATTTCCCATGACAAGACTGGAAAGAAACTGCTCTCTCCTCCAACTCTCTTCCCCACTCCCTCTTTCTTTATTCACACTCTCTCACATGCACACCTTGCCTTCATTACTCTCTCCACTCTCTCTTTCTCTCAGACACACACCCTTGTGTACATCACCGCCAGGTCAATATCTGTGCTGGGCCTCAGTGAAGCCTAACTGTATTATCTTAGGTCCCACAGTCCCTCAGTCTACTAGGAACCCCATTAAACCTACATTGATCATCCTCATTTCAGGCCCAGGTTCCTTTAACATGGCCAGGGCATCGTTAATAATGCTCCATACAGCAGCCATTTGACATTTCCTTTAATTATGGCTGTAATTTATTCATGCACTTGATCCTAGGAGCTTGTTGTGAAAAGCTTCCTTCAGGAATATTTTATCCTGCTCCTCCTCTCGAGGCCCATGGATTAACCATCTTAATAGCAAACCCCTGAAGGTATTACTTCCTTCATTGTGTGTGAGTGTGTTTGCGTGTGTGCACACTTGTGGTATGTGTGTGTGTGTGTGTGTGTATACGATGGCAATGATCACTGTGCCTTGAATGTGTGTGTTAAGCTGCAAAAGTCATTAGGTCTTATTTTTCAACCATTCAGAGGACTCAATGTAAATTCTCCTGTATTACTAGCTTGTCTAATTTTGGGAGAACACAAAGAAAAGTGCAAATGGTTGCAAGATCCGCGCTTATCGCACAATGCAGAGACCCCAATGTTTAACCCAGTTTTGCAGAGGAAAACATCACCGCTTAATTTGCTCACTCTGCAGGTTGGTTAACAGACGGCAAAACACAGCAATTTCGCACAAAGTAGCGGAGGGAATCTCGAATGCACACAGTTCAAATGGGATTTAAGATGTTAATTATGATGTTTCTTGATCACAGAACATTGCTCAACTCCTGACTGCACACCTGACAGAAATTCTTCAGGCTGTGTGGGGAAAAGTGAATGCATTTGAAGACTGGGAAGTGGAGGCTGTTGAAAAGGACACACACACACTCACACAGGTAGAAATAGAAGGCTATTTGTCACTTGTAAATGGAAAGTAATTTGACAATTTGTCAATTTGTCAGCACTGGAGGAAACACGATATAGCCTACTTTATTATTTCATGAAAAATTGAACAGCTATTGCTTCAAATATGTAAACTTACATCACTCTCACTTTCACTGTAATCATTTTACACAAAACCATAAATCCGCATTCTTTTTTTATACCCATTTGCTCCATTGTATAATGCATCTGAACACAAAAACATCTCTCACCTACTTGGATGTCAATCCAAAAATGATTTGGGTGTTGTCTGCAGTTCACTTCAGTATATTACACAGTTGCTCCTAATGATGCTCGCTCTTTCTTTCTCATATATTAACTCAGTAAGTTTACCTGGTTGTTTTCTTTTTAAACTGGTAGCCTCAGTTCATTAGCCGGGCGGTTTGCATAGAAGACTAATGGGCCAGCATACCTTTTATTGCATACTGCAGTTCCATGGCTGTGGAGGTCCATTACTTTGGAGGATCAAGAATTTACTCTCTACTGCTGCTGATAGGCCTTGCAAGGGGCTAATGAAGGGAAAGATCCACTTTGAAATAAATCCTCCACTAGGTCAATAAAAAATTTGCTTGGCTTCAGATGAGACCTGCAAGTAAAAAACCAGCTTGTGAGGTGTGACCTGGGGGTGAGTTCAGTAAATTCAGCAGGGAGATGCACTACGGAAATGCATAAGGCAGTGATACATTCATCATAGGCATAGTTTTCCTTGCCCCCGTCGCCAAGTGCTTGCTCATGGTGGTACTGTTGGGTCTCTGTAAATGTTATAAGGAGTTCGGTCTAGACCTGCTCCATTTGAAAAGTGTCCTGAGATAACTTATGTTATGAATTGGTGCTATACAAATACAATTTAATTGAATTGAATAGTTATATTTTAAAAACCTACATTAAATGATTAATCTTAGTAAACAAACTATTTCATCAACAATCACATATATCAAAAGGAAGATATTTGAA